CAATTATTTTGATGTTAAAATAAAAATGTGTATAAAAGAGCTCATTGCACAGGCACACTCTTGTTTATCACAAGTACCAAAGCATTAACCTTTTAACATCCTGATCTTACAAAGACGGTGAATATTGTAATGAGGATGCACACCCGATCTCACTATCTGAAAGATCGTACAAGGCATTGGCGAAGCGTTTCATTTATAGATTTTGAGAGATTTCGTAGCTTTTTATGTTATTTTCGCCATAATACGAGAGTTACTGCATAATTATTGAGAAAAATTAAGAAAATGCACTGACAAAATTCTGAAAATGGTTTTATTGTTTTTCAAAATATTTACCATGATGATCGATACACTTTTGCATTCGCTTGAACCAATTGTCATAGCATTTATGCCATTCCGCGTGAGACACCTCCAAAACGTGTGTTTTGAACGCATCAACTGCTTCTTCGGGGGTCGAAAATCGTTGATCACGTAGTTTTTTCTTCACGCTCGGGAATAAAAAGAAGTCATCGAGTGCCAAGTCAGGACTGTATGTCGGATGACCCATCAGTTCGATGTTTTGACCGGTCAAAAATGGAGTGGTTTGATGAGATGTGTGAGAGCTCGAATTATCGTGATGAAGAATTATTCTGCGACGGTGGTTGTTTTTTCTTAATTCACAAAACAATTCTGGCAAACAAATGGTGGCCGTCCTGCGATCCTCTAGTGGAGCGGTTACGTTTTTACACCATCAGAAAGGTTTACACCATTTTTAGATACTAATCTCTTGTGAACTACTTTTTTGTCAATATCACAACGGAATTTGATAGAAAAAATCATTTCAAACGAAACATTTTGGTATTTATTCACTGTAGAGAGAATTCACAGATTCACACTCTTTTTCTGAATAAACAAAGTTTCAGATTTATTTTTGTCTATTGACAAGTTCTCAATGGAGAAGTAATAAGTAATGACCATATTGATGTCTTGGTTACTACAAAACAATATTTCACTCTGCCGGAAGGCAAGGCAATAAGAAAAACTTCAATAACCCAAAGATGAACATTTTCAATGAATTTTGAATGAATCATAATCATACGCATACAACTGCGATAAATATGTAGTCGCATTGTCTCGCAGAGTTCAATGCTTAACGATTCCAACGTAAACTAGTTACGAGTCATATTAAAATGCAAACAATTGTGTGGACTCAACATTTTATTTCTGATGATTAACCAAGTGAACCCGTAACCGGTTTGATGACCGATTCAGCTACGTTTCATAAGCTCACTAACATTTGACCTTAACATAGAGATGTACGAGGTATATAATAAGATTTGATTTGAATTTAAGAAATCTTGACCTGAAGCAAATGGTGTACTACCAAACGGAACTGAGAATTTGTCGAGTGTGGTGTGGAATCGGAACGAAGCGACAAAAAGTTTTAATGAAAATATATGAATTTGGCGGTTGTGACGCGTGGCTGTTGGCTAAAAATCGACTACTTCTACGTTTCCGCCCATTATCACAACATTGCCATAAAAAACACAAAAATGCAACTTTTCGTCAAAAGAGTTTATTTCACTTTTTAGTTCACAAACAAGACCAATCAAAAGAGTTAATAATATGAAAACTGCATATTTGCAGAATATGTTCCAAAAACCAAAATTCAAATAACCGCAATATTTCCTAAAGCATTATACAAGAACAGCTTGGTTCCTGTTTAATTTTAACGCGTCTTACTGAGTGTCGATCATTTGAATCGACCGTATATCTCATTCCTATTACGAATTCTGCCCATCTATACCGCTTAATATTATATTGCTCAATCGTTTCTCTTACGCTCTCAAGTTTTCCAAGCACCAGCTGTTGTTGTTCAATTAATTCATTTGTGATCGATTCAAGTGTCACACACATTTTCTCTACTTGTTTAATTTCAGACATATTTAAAAGTTCGAAAAATCCCTTCGTAGCTATGTCAAGATCTGAATCAACGCTCGCTTTCACAGTCTCCGCCGCATTCATATTCACGTTGAATTTTGCGTGCAATTCATCATATTCATCTCTCATTGTTTTTTGATCGCGCCAAACTTGTTGCGCATGTGCCAAGTCGAAGGGATTTACTTTGAATGCCTTATAAGATTGAATGAATAAATCGTCATTTTTCTCGGACGGTTTGAATGACATCTTTTTCAAAATATCGGCATTTATATTCCTAATTTGTATCCGCTGATCGTTAATTGATTCAATTATCGAACTGATGGCAACACGGGTATTTGTTTCGTTAATTTTTATGGTTTTTGGTATTTTTTTTGCCACTCGATCTCTTATTTCACTATCCAAAAATTCATTCACAGGAGCTTTTAGCTTCGGTCTTACATCGTAGAAATTTCTCGGCATTGTTAGCATGAAATCCAATTTTGGCCGTATTGGGAAATGATTTCTATCCCCTTTCACGTAAAATTTCTCGAGAAGATCAAAGAATGTAATGTGATTGTTGGGATCCGCAGTGGTAATCGACTAAATAAATACACAAAAAATTAAATTATATTTGTTTGTTAAACTGGGCATCGACAGTTTTTTATCATGAATGGAAAATACCTGAATGAACAGCGGAAGTAATAAAAGGTGCAGAAATGATGACATTTTTCACTTGTTGATTGAATGAAAAAAACTTGGTAAGAACTGAATCGATTGATTTTATTAAAGAAATGAATTAATACTAGAGCTACACGTGTCACTAATTCCGACTAATTCACCCTTTAAAAAATTTCTATTGAAATAGCAAAAGTGTTGTCAAGCTAATTATCATTCATGTACTTGTTGATTTTATAAATTCAAAACACAAGGCGACCTGAAATATTTTTCAGTCTCATGGAAAATTCCATGTACTCTTCTGTCTCTCCTTTCCTATCTCTCTCTCTCTCTCTCTCTCTCTCTCTCTCATCTTTATGAATTTTAAGCGAGAGTAAAAGGGACCCGCAAAAAATTTCGACGGTAGCTTCGGTTATTATAATGTAAGACCACGTCTGCTTTCGTTGAACCACGTCGGCATTTTCTATTGATTAAAAAATTTAGAAAATAGGTCTTAGAAGTGTTCCATACTTAAAATGAGACTTTGTTTAATTCCACCATATCTTTTCATTTTAGAAAATTACAAAACGTCGATTTGAATCAATTTTGAATTGAAATGTTGGCCAAAAATCGACTGCTATTATGTTTCCTTTCCTAGGGGCTTAATTCGGTGAAAAAATTCACAAAATTCACACGAATTCATTATGTATAATTTTGACAGTTCAGGCGTGCTAACAAGCCGCCATCTTGAATTTTCATGTACAATTCATATAAATTCACTGAAATTCACCGAGATTCACATTTATTCCAAAAATTCTCAGACTTATTAAATTCATGGAATTCACAAATATCCTTCTATTTGGGATTCGAATTAAGCCCCTAGTTCCTTTCATTGTCACAGAATTGCCATAAAAAAACACAAAAATGCAGCTTTTCGTCAAAAGGGTTTATTTCAAAGAGAAAAGAATTATTTTAAAAAGAAACAAGACCACCCAAAAAGACTTAATAATATGAAAAGTGCGCATTTGCAGAATAAGTTCCAAAAGTCAAATAACCGCAATATTTTCTAAACTATTGTACAAGAAAAGCATGATCCCAGTTCACTTTCAACGAGTTCTACTGAATGACGATCATTTGAAGCGAGCGTATTTCTCATGCCAATAACGCATTCAGCCTGAAAAAATGGAAATAACGTTGCAATACTGTTCCAAAAGGTTAATCAGCTGATACTCACCCATCTATACCGCTTAACATTATATTGCTCAATCGTATCTCTTACGCTCTCAAGTTTTCCAAGCACCAGCTGTTGTTGTTCAATTATTTTATTTGTGATCGATTCAATTCTCACACAAATGTTCTTAATTTGTTTAATTTCAGACGTATTTAAAAGTTCGAAAAATCCCTTCGTAGCTATGTCAAGATCTAAATCAACGCTCGCTTTCAAAGTGTCCGCCGCATTCATATCCACGTCGAATTTTGCGTGCAATTCATCATATTCATCTCTCATTGTTTTTTGATCGCGCCAAACTTGTTGCGCATGTGCCAAGTCAAAGGGATTGACTATAAATGTCTTATAAGATTGTATGAATAGATCGTCATTTTTCTCGGAAGGTTTAAATGCCATCTTTTTCAAAATATCGGCATTTATATTCCTAATTTGTGTCCGCTGGTCGTTAATCGATTTAATCATCGAATTGATGGCAGCGCGTGTATTTTTCCCATTAATTTTCATGGTTTTTGGTATTTTTTTTGCCACTCGATCCCTTGTTGCACTATCCAAAAATTTATTCACAGGAGCTTTTAGCTTCGATCTTACGTCGTTGAAGTTTCGCGGCATTACAATCATGAAATTAAACGTGTTCCGTATTGGAAAACGATTTCTATCCCCCTTTACGTAAAATGTCTCAATAAGATCAAAGAATGTAAAATTATCGTCAGGGTCTGCGGTGGTAATCGACTAAATAAATGCACAAAAAATGAAATTTGAGATCGACAGTTTTTTTTGGATGGGAAATACCTGGATGAACAGCGGAAGTAATAAAAGGGGCAGAAATGATGTCATTTTTCACTTGTGGATTGAATAAAAAAAAACTTGGTAAGAGCTGAATCGATTGATTTTCTTAAAAAAATGAATTAACACACACCAGAGCTACACGAGTCACTAATTCGATCATTAAGAAACATCCATTTAAATAGCGAGAGAGTTGCCAATCAAGCACTTTAGCATTCATGTACTAGTTTTATAAAACCACCTGAAACAACAAACATTTTACTTTTCCGCACACACCTAGTCTGTAAGGTAAAGTATTGGAATCGGTCGAAAAATTAACACCCATCAAAAATGTGTTTTCTGGGTGTTTTTGGGCCAGGGAACACGAATCTAGCGTTTTTTCGATGTCCGAGTGTATGTGCGTACCCTGTACGCTGTACGCTGTACCCTGTATTTGTTAACACGATAACTTTCAAACAAGAAAAGTAATTCAAAATCTGACTTCACAGGATGATTGGGGGTGCCGAGGAATAGATAGGGGTGTCATGTCTGGTATGATGCCCATGGCCATCCATGGGAAAAATTCTATTCTTCTTCCAAAAGTGATATTTAATGTATACTTAAACACTTAAAAATATGTATTGTGGGGTTTTTGGGTACGAGAAAACCGAATATGATGTTAGTTTTGCGATACAAATATATTTCGACACACTTTTCATACAAAAATTTCAAAAAAATTGAATTTTTGTATGAAAGCCATGCTTCTATGATATTGTAATGACCTGAAACTTTGCACAGCTTATTTTTTTCACACAAAAATAACATTCCGAGAGTTTGAAGAGATTTCAATGCATAATGGGGGTACCTCCCATACAAAATTTTGGATTTTTCGCTCAAAAACGAAAATTTTGTATAGGAAGTACCCCTAATATGCACTGAAGTTTCTTCAAATTTGCTGAGATTATGTAGTTTGGCAAGAAAATGAGATTTACAAGTTTTCATTGTAATTAAATTACTGTAACTACACATTTTGGAAAAAATTATGATCAATTTCGAATCAACAAAACGCAATAAATGTTTGTTTGAAGTATTTCTTGTCAAAATACAAAATCTCAGCAAATTTAAAGAGATTCCAATACAATTTGGGAGTAACTCCCAAACAACATTTTCGATTTTTTGCTCGAAAACGAAAATTTTGTGTGGAAGTACCCCTGAATTGTATTAAAATTTCTTCAAACTTTCAGGATGTTAACTTTTTGTGATGTTTACGATATCATATAGACATGGCTCCGAAACGAAAATTCCCATTTTTGGTAGTTTTTGTATGAAAATTGCGTCGAAAATTATTTGTATCGTAAAACTAATGACAGATTCAGTTTTTCCATGAATTCTTCGAGTAAAAGATATGTAATAAATGAATGTTGTGGATCACAATGCGGAAAAGTTCATCTTACGGATGTAAGATATTTTATTTTTTTAGAGAGAAAGTCTCTTCTATTACGCTCTCCCTCTCTTGCTCCCACTTTTCTAATGAATTTTAAGTGAGAATAAAAGGGACCACCTTTACTTAGCAAAAATAGAATGTCAGAGCGCGTCTGCTTTCGTCAAAACGAATTTTTTATTATTTTTCGTTGAATATCGAACACATCTACATTTTCTGCTGATGAAATAAATATTGGCAATAAAATTAGGCAATAAACTGGAAATTAGGCAATAAAAATGATCGTAATTCAAGTGAGATTTCATTTTATTCATGGTGTCTTTTCAAAAATACAACATTCGATTTAAATTAA